GACGTTTATTCTGTTGACACCATTTTTTTGTTTTTCTTTATTCCCCCCTCCTCCCCTTGTACCGTCTTTAACATAATATGGGAGCAATACAAACTTAACACACAAGACTGGTGTGAGGTCAGTGACCTTGACCTTTGACCAAAATCTAATAAGTTTGTCCTGGAGTCCAAGTGGATGTTTGCACCAAATCTGAAGAAGAAAAAAAAAAGCCTTCAAGGTATTCCTGATTACATTCAGACAACATGAAAACTGTCAGCTACTGCTGTTACGGAGGCATAAAAATAAAACAGCAGCTAGCCATTTCAGTTACTGGTAGTTATTGTCTTTATGTGTCACACTAAGTATTTCTATTGACACTATAGCTCTGAAGAAATAATGTTGATGGAAAACTACTTTTAAATTCAGAAATGTGTTGAAAGAAATGCTGTTTAACTTGGCAGTGCAAAATTACAGGTGAGAGTTTATAACACACTTGAAGTTAAAAAAAAAAAAGTCACATGGGGGAAGTTGAAAAAATTCTAATGAACCATCTGAAGAGCTTGTATTGTATGATCTGATCTGATCTTCATAAAACCTTTATCATCTGATCTACAACAACCTGAAAAACTTTACAACTTAATGTGCTGAAACTGGACTCCCCCTCTCAGTTTCTTTCTAGGATCACTCAGTTCTGGAACTGCATCCCCACAGCATCCTGTTAACATGGAACAACAATCCATCCACCACCTACAGTGGCAAGAAAAAGTATGTGAACCTTTTGGAATTTCATGGTTTTCTGCATTAATTTGTCATAAAATGTGATCTGATCTTCATCTAAGTCAAGAGTACTGACGAATATAATGTGCCTAATATAACAACACAAAAAAAATTCAGATTTTTCATGTCTTGAGAACAACCATAAAAACCTCGTAGTGCTAGTGGAAAAAGTATGTGAACCCTTGAGTTAATGACCTCAAAAAAACAGAATTGGATTCAAGGGTTAGCATATCTGGAGTCGTGTTAAGAAAATGAGTTTGGAGGTGTGGACTACAGCTACTTTGATAAAAACCACTCAAACTTTGAGTTTGCACCGCACAAGAAGAATACGCTTATGTGAGCCATGCCTCGCCAAAAAGAGCTTTCAGAGGATCTATGATCAAGAATTGTTGATTTACATAAAGCTGGAAAGGGTTACAAAGTGATTTCAAAGACTTTAGAAATTCACCAGTCTACAGTTAGGCAAACGATCTACAAACGGAGACACTTTGGGACTCTGGCTACTTTAACAAGAAGTGGGCGCCCAGTCAAAATGACCCCAAGAGCACAATGAAGACTCATCAATGAGGTAAAGAAACAACCTCGAGTGACAGTCAAAGATTTGAAGGCATCATTGGAACCAGCTAACATCTGTGTTCATGAGTCTACAGTACGCTAAAACATTGAACAAGCAGAGCCCAGACCTCAACCCAATAGAGATGCTATGGAATGACTTGAAGAGAGCCATACATGGGAGACGTCCAAAGAATATGACGAAGCTAAGGCAGTTCTGCCAGGAAGAATGGGCTAAAATTCCTCCTGAACGATGTGCAGGTCTAATCAACAGCTACAGGATGCACCTGGTTGAGGTTATTACTACCGGGGGGGGTCCAACCAGTTATTAATTCCAGGGTTTAACTTACTTTTTCCACTACCATTTTGAATGTTGAATGGGTGTGTTCAATAAAGACATGAAAGATCAGAATTTTTTGTGCTATTTTAGGCGCATATGTGCCAGTACTCTCAACTTAAATGAAGATCAGATCACATTTTATGACAAACTAATGCACAAAACCATGAAATTCCAAAAGGTTCGCATACTTTTTCTTGCCACTGTACATATGCTATGCGGGACTTAAAACTAACACACTGTTCAGGCTGAAGCTAACAGACAGATGGTAAACACTGCAGGAGCTGCTGTCATGGGACAGACAGTGAATCTGTGCTCAGTGGAAAGACATACACTATAATGCCAAAAGTATTCACTCACCCATCCAAATCTTTGAATTCAGGTGTTCCAATCACTTCCATGGTTTTAGGTGTATATAAGCAAGCACCTAGGCATGCAGACTGCTTCTACAAATATTTTTGAAAGAATGGGTCGCTCACAGGAGCTCCGTGAATTCCAGTGTGGTACCGTGATAGGATGCCACCTGTGCAATAAGTCCAGTCGTGAAATTTCCTTGCTACCAAATATTCCACAGTCAATTGTTAGTGGTCTTATAACAAAGTGGAAGCGATTGGGAACGACAGCAACTCAGCCAAGAAGTGGTAGGCCACGTATAATCACAGAGCGGGGTCAACAGATGCTGTAATGCATAGTGCACAGAGGTTGCCAACTTTCTGCAGAGTCAATAGTTACAGACCTCCAAACTTCATGTGGCCTTCAGATTAGCTCAAGAACAGTGCACAGAGAGCTTCATAGAATGGGGTTCCATGGTCGAGCAGCTGCATCCAAGCCTTACTTCACCAAATGCAATGCAAAGCGTTGGATGCAGTGGTGTAAAGCATGCTGCCACTGGCCTGTGTTTGGTAATATAGTGCATTTCATCTTGATGGAAGATAGTAACTTCTCATATAAAAGACCACAAAGTAAAGACCTATTCTTTGGTTTTCAGCTCGCTCTCACAGATACAGTGCATGCTCTTCTAGTCATACTACAATCAGGGGCATGCGTATGCAGACGTGTTCCAATCATGAACACTAGAAAGAAGTACATAGTGCTGGGGGAAAAAAAAAAAAAAAAAAAACACACACGAGGGCAACTTGACAGCTAGATGAAGAAATCCTCTGACTGAACAAGATAAAAAAGCCAAAAAAAGAAAAGTGTGGGCAGCCAAGAGCAGGACCAGGGATGGGATTTAAAACAATTTCATACAGTGCACAAAATGACCATCCAGTCTAGTGTATGCACATTCAATGTGCTCACAGTCAGGACAGACAACTTTTGGGCTGCCCGTGGACATCTACAGAGGTTCCAAATGAACCCTTGCAGATCACATAGAAGAATAAGTAACAACTGTAGTAGACCTTAAGTGGGCCTAAAGTTACTTTCACATAATATAAGTGTTCAGTTTATCAGCTTTGTTGCCATTTTATAGTTTCTTGGGTTGGAAAGTAACCTCCTGGCTCCTAACCTGTATTTGCACTACATTAGTTTACTAATCCAGAACTACTTAAATTAACATATCATGACTGCCGTTGTCCAAATAATGCTTCAGAGGTTGTAGTAACAGCTCCCAACACAGCCCTGGAGAAGACAATTTGCTGTTTTAAGTCATCAGCAAAAGTTGGGACACCGGTCAAAATTGTTTGCGTCAGTATTCAAGGCTTCACTTACTTCCACTGCCGTAGATAAGAGGCAAGTTAGCCTTTTACTTTATCACTGTATTTTTTGTTTTGTGACCTTTTAAACCTCAGGCAGTTTACTTTTAAACTGGATATACAGTGTGCCAACCTCAGCAATAGCTGTATTCCAACATTTGTTTACCCTGCCTTACTATTCCCTACAATGACATTTTATTCGTGTAGCACCACATCACAACAAAGGTCGCCTCAGGACACTTGAATCAGGGTTGCGTCAGGAAGGGCATCCGGCGTAAAACGTGCCAAATTTCAACATGCGAGTCGTCAGTGTGACGATTTGCTGTAGCGACCCCCAAAAGGGAAAAGCCGAAAGTGACTTTCTATAGAGGAAAAACAACAAATCCTCCTTATTAGCCTGCTAATAACATATTAGAAGAGTCTGATCTCTGCAATGTATTAAACAAACATGGAGAGGAGGAGCTATTCACAGACAGTCCATCATCGTAGTTGTCATGTGTGTGATAGAGAAATAGGGTGGTGCACGGAAGGACAGGAATATACAGTATGTGCTGTGCACTGCATTACATTAAAGATTTAACTTATTTTAAATCAATATGTGGTGGTCAACATTGATATTGCAGCAGTCCACCACAAATAAATCAATGTATGGGAAACACTGCATTGTTATTTTTTTGAAAACAGATCTCATTTTGAGACAAGAAATTAATGCTATGAAAGAAATGAATTTTGTATTTCCTGACAACTGAAACAGTGAAGAAAACGAACATGACCGCTTCATGGTTGTATGCCTCTGCCAACCAAATTCACAAGAATGGGACAAACAGGAGGTTGCTGACCTTGACCACGAATATCTAATCAGTTGATCCTCAAGTGCAAATGGATGTCTGTGCCAAATTCGGAGAAATTCCCTCAAGATGTTCCTGAGATCTTTGTTCACAAGAATGGGAAGAATGTTAAGTCACTGTGACCTTGACCTTGGACCACCAAAATCTGTCCAAGTGGACACTTGTGCCAAATTTGAAGAATGAGAACAGGCAGATGGACAATCTGAAAACATAATGCCTCTGGCTGCAGCTATCACCAGCACAGAGTCAAAAAAATATTTAGCTTTCACCTTTTTAGACTGTTTGACTGACTTGAGCACTGGTCAAAAACAGTTCACCTGTTGTTACACAACTGACAAGTAGGACAAGTGAAAAACTGAGGTTGTCGAAACTGAGGCAGTCAAAGGGTTAAAAACACGAAAACGTTGTACAGAAGAAGACTGTCATCATAGGCCCAGACACAGTGACAGTAAATAAAACAGGCAGGTGATCCAAAATAATATGTTCAATCCACACAGAGTCCGACCTCCATGCAACATGGGGAGGCAACAGTGGTGCGGTGGGTAGAGAAGTCGTTTCCCAACCAGAAGGTTGAAGGTTTGAATCTCAGTGCCGGCAGTCCACGTGTCAAGGTGTCCTTGGGCAAGACACTGACCATGGCAAATTGTAACGGCAAATTGCTACAGTCAAGCTTTCTTTTGGACACACAAAAGCTTAAATTCCTGCAATAATAAAACCTCCTACTTTGGTTTGATTGGATTTTTAACAGCCAGTCTGTACCTACAGGTCTAGACTGGTTTATTCTCAAATACCTCAAAATCAAAAGTAACATTTTATCTTTTCAAATCCATACACAAATTCCAGCAACTTAATTTGTGTTCCTTGGGGGAACCACACAGACCATATCTCTACCAAGCCTCCCTGTTAGTATAGCCTCAGCTGTTTTGTAATTGCTTGTCTAGAGCCAGATGTTGCACACAGAGCATCAACTTCTGGAGTTCAATATCAGCCTTCAAAATATTTCAATGTATTGGTTTCAAAAAACTGCTACACAATTCAATGCCTTTGCCAACACACACGTCTAACAAAATTAAGATCAAGACCAACACCAAAACAATGCTTTCGCATTAATTACATTTAAGTCGCATGCATGAATCTAAATGCTTGACTGACATATAATCAAATACTGAGAAACCGATAAATTTTTTTGTTATGCATCAGTAAACAGAAAACATAAAAACCAAAATTCTTCGACAATGTATGTGGTGCAGTGGAATTTACATACAACACAAAACTAGATTTATCATTACTATTATAGAAGTCACAAACTCCAAATGCACCTTGAAAAAATACAATTACAGTCTGTTGCTACTAAAGTTCATCTGTGTCTTTTTTCTGCTTGTTCAATTCAAAACTACAACTGGAGCAAACTTCATAACAAGCATAAATCAAGCTGCACTTATGTCTGAAGATTTAAAGAAGCAACTTTAGAGTTTCAGTGTTATAGCTCTTGGCTGTAAAAACAGTGCTTTGATAGGGAGAAACAACAACTGTGTCTGCTTATTTGATAGCATTATCTGTGGCTGTTTAAGTAATTTTAATCTAAATTCAATTTATTCTCAATAACATTTGTCTCTCACCTCCGTCCCTGTCTCTGGCACGGTGTGTGTGGACAGCCTTTGCTCTGCTGTGCCCTGTACTGTCGATGTGTTTGTTTTCGGGGCTGTCAGACCTCCTGAGCATTTTGCAGGGAGGAGTGACATCTGACGAGTCTCGCATCTTTTCATGACGGTGGTCACCTCCCGGATGGCTCTTGGACGTGTATTTGAGAGTCTGCAGACACAAATAGAATACCATGCTACAGTCTAGTATCTTGTGTGTATAATTATTTAATCACAATCAGAAGGTCTTTCAAACCAGTTTTTGCTTTGTTAAACACAATGTTAAGATGTTCAAAGTACTACAAAGTCAATGTAAACTACCATTCAAAAGATTGGGATCATCTCCAGTTATGTGCAATTCAACAACTGAACAGATTTGTGACATTCTTCCTACAACTGAAATTAAATATGGATTGGATAGATAATGCTACTGCATAATTTCCCACAGATACATTGCACCTGAAGAGTGAAAGCAAAGCAACCTTTGCTTTCATTCTTCATCCAGAAAGCCTGGACACTGTGCTGCCATTTCATCATTTGACACCAACAGTCTCATTCCTTTCTTCCTCACGGCTCATTAACCTGCTATCCACTTATTAAGTGTGACAAAACATTACATTTCCGGGTCCAAACTCCCCTGGACCCAAATGGTGGAGCCTGCTCTACATATATACCCTTTTTTAAATAGTTCCCAGCTTTTAATGTTACTTTCATCACTAATCACTAATAAACACCTTTATTTGGCCAAGTATGTTATACACAAGGAATGTGTTTCTGGTACAGAAGGAAGCCATCTGCGGCGCTAACTCAACCGAAGGCTCTTTGACTGCCGGGGGCAACTTGGGGGTTTAGTTTCTTGCCCAAGGACACTTCGACACGTGTACTGCGGGTACCGAGATTCGAACCGCCGACCCTCCAGTTGGGAGACGATTGCTCTAGCCACTGAATGACAGTCGCCCCTGTATCAATATATTATTTTTGCATTACGTTCATGCTAACTAGCTAGCTAAGTTTACATTACAAGGCAGCAAAAGAGCACACTTAATCAGCTGCATCAATTTCTTTTTCTCCTTCCCATCGCAAGAAGTAAAATGACAGCTGAAGTGATTTTTGATTCTGATGTACTGAAACAATGGGGGAACACAACACTGCGGCATATGGAGAGAAGAACGAAGCCAAGTTTGGACCCAGAAACAGAATGTTACATCAACAGTTAGCAAGTGGATAGGATGAAACCCCGAAAATGTCTGACTTCTTTTAATTGCCTTTTTCCAAATAATGCTTCAAAGGCAGTGTAATACAGTGTTTTCCAACACTGCCTTTGTACGGATATAATGTTGTTGTTTTAAGTAATGAACAAAGTAGGGACACCTCTAGGAATTGTTTGTACTAATTTTCAAGACCTCATTTACTTCTAGTGCGACAAAAAACATACAAGGTAACCTATTATTTGTTCCCTAAAAAGAACAGTGTTACATAAATTTTTTTTTTACATCTGGTAATTTTGCAAAATTAAAGCTTAGTCACTGGGCACCTTAAATGTCTAAAACTAGAAAACGGAATTTTCTAAAACTTTTGACTGGTAGCGTACCTATGTACAAAAGTTTTAATCATTCTGATGTTAATCTGCAGAGCAAGTGATTATTCATGATTAAAGTAAACCGACTTTTTGATCAGACAATTACTGACCTACTTTATTGCATTTTCACCTACCACATTTTCAATGCAATTACTAATACGTTAGGTTGCCATATACATTCCGAGCACTGTGCTGTTTCGAGAGCTTAGCTATCCATAACGTTATCCTTTAAATGACAGACTGCGGTCAGGGCCTAATCGGACTGGCTAAAAAGCAAGCTAACACTAACAGGCTATCATTAGCTCTGAGCCGAATAAAACACGCTCGTATCTTTTACTAAATCGTTGATGTCGTCGATTACATTCAGTCTGTTAGCATTACATGACAACATTTACGTTAAGAAATGTTTGCAACGCGCAGGCGGCAGTCTCAAATAAAATAATCTACTTTTCATGTTATTTTCCGCAATGACTGCGGCCTGTTGTGCTCTCCGGGAGCCTGAACTAGTGTCCATTTTTTATTTGCTGCTAGCAAGCTACGGTTGGCTAACAAGTACCTGGTAGGGCTGAGAATCTCTTCGGTCGCACCTGCGAATATAAAGAAAACAGTTAATATCAAACTTAAAAGGTCAATACTAAAATATCGTTGGAAGTGCTGCAACAGTTGAAAGTACAAGTTTCCAAACACTTATTCTGGCTTCAGTAAAAATGGCGGATTGTCAAAACGTAGCTATAAGGAAAAGCTAAATAAGTAACGTTAAAAAAAGATGTTTACCCATCGCCGAGTCTCGGTTGTTTCCTTGCATACATTACCATCAATGCCGTGTTAGTGTGTTTGGAGTGGGATGTGAAAGACTAATAACGGCACTATATTGTCCTTTTGATCCAACGACCTGAAATCGTCCAGTCTTTGAGCCGTGTTTATGGGTATTGCAATGCTATCAGTAGCACTCACCAAAACAGCGCCCTCTCTCGGTCCCATCGCAGTCTCACACACATAACCGTGTTTCTGCTGTGAAAATGTAGCAGTGGAGCTATGCGCAGGGTTGCCAGATACTACACATACATAGAGGGTAGAACTATGGACACACTTTTTATATATAATTATTATACACCTTACATTACAATAATGTAAAACCTTGTTTATAATAATTTGAATATTTTAGAAATAAAAGACGTGTTATTATTTAGCCTTTTGAGGCTATTGCATGTTTAAATCAATTAATATTTTTAATAAAAAACGGTCATTTCATTCTGGCACTGGGCCTGAGTCGTAGTAGTAGTAGGTGTGCATTTTCACAGTTGAGGTGGTATCAGCAGTGCAAAGTGGTATACTGGCAAATTTGGTTAAGTACATACTGATACATGGACTGAAGAGTTTGGGAACCTTTATTTTATGAAAGAAATGGCAAAACCAGCCCACAGTTTAGAGATGAGAAATTATCTTAGGGTGAATTTTGAAGCATGCTTACATTAAAAAAAGCAGCTGTTTACAAAATTTTACATCCCCAAAGTAAAGTTGGTGGATAAAGAAAGGTATTTTGCACTACAACATGCTGACAATTTGTAAAATAAATGGAATTAATAAATCCTGAAACAATATATATAGCATATATATGTCTCCAGTGCATTTACAAGCCTAAACAAGGCAGTGGCTTGTTCTCTGCTGTCATCTTGTGGCAATACTTTGACACTGCAGGTAACATTTATCTCAAAATCATTATGACAACAAATTCATACAAATATTCCCATTGACATAGCTACATTGTATCCCACAAAATGATTTCACTATTGTCACATGACTGTGTCATTGTGCATGACACGGCAATGCATATTCAAGCCTCACTGTCCATATGCAACAGGCTGAACACTTGACCCAATATGCACAAGTAGAGGCAAGCTGTCGTTTTAATTCTTTTCTAAGTCCGAGTGAGAAACTGTAAAATACAGTCTAACCAAAATCAGAGTTGGTCTGAATTAGATGGTGAACATGCAAGATTAAATATCACTCACCATTTAAGTCTAACTTAACAATTGTTTTATAGTAAGTAAATGCTGATTTTGGTTAAAAATTGACATATTCTTCAAGCAATCTTCTATGTAGTCGTACAGCTAGGAAGTAAAATAAGGCATACGGTATGCATAATATAATCAAGCTTGCAAGTTCATTGTATTTCATTCATAATTTTCTGACTCGTTTGCAGCAACAGATGCTTCTGTGTGGCTCTCCTAGCAACGTAGTGTATACGAGTGTATGAAGCTTTTAATTTTTTTTTTATATACTAGCTATCATCACACCAAGAACTGCTTTTTCAATTTTGTTGTACAATGTATAATGACAGATAAAGTGCTATTATACTCTATTCTAGTCAGTATTCTCTGTGAAACTGAAGTAGCCATCAACCACAGTTCCAAAACATGTAAAGCTGGTGACAGTTTCTTTAGGGGATCCAGTGATTATCACTGACTGTCATATAGTAGTGGCTTATGTGTTGCTGAATAAGATAAAGTCTTTGGTCTTACCTGTACTTATTACCGGCCACATTTTTTTATTTTTCCCTTCTTTTCTCTCTCTCTTCATTTACTCCCTCCTTTTTTTACTTACCAAGCCACATGAAAAGCTTCCCCGCATTCTTCTGTAACTGTCCTGTCTCCATGTTTCATGGAGATCTTTCTTGTTGATGTGCTAGTTTTTTTTTTGTTTCTATAAAAAATAAAAAGCCCATTTTCATCACACCACTTTTGCAAAGAAATGACACAGATAAAGTACTATATATGAACAGTACAGTTTCTTGCAGTGTCCCCTTCACGCAGAAGGCCGGCCAAGGCCATATCACTATCACTGTCTTGGATTCTAAATTCACTGGCAAACAGGAATAACAACAAAGGTGATTAATGGGTACCTTGTGGTGCTCCTGTGTTAAGGGTGATCATTTCTGACACCCTGCCTTTCACAGACATTCTTTGTAGTTTGTGTCATGTTTACCCAGTAGGCCTACTTCTGCCTTCAACCTTTTATTTTGATGAGCCTCCTCTGGCCCACTTGACTCTCACTGAGCTCTGCTTTAGGGTGTGGAAATGAGTCTCAGCTATTTCCCCACTGACTGATTACTCACTCTGCATATAAATCTGTTCTCAGGCCTTTGTCACTGTTGAATTGCTTGTCTGGGTCTTTCTGTTTTGTTTGTTCTCTGTGTAATTGTTTTCCTACCCACACTGAGACTTTTCCCCACTGAATGTTTTTAGAACTGGACTCCCACCTGTTATTAACTGGTTTGTCCTCACTCCCTGTTACTACCACACTTTTGTTTAAAGACATTCCAACTTGTTACTCCCTATGCCTGACTCCGACATTGCCCTTTAGTAGGTGTATTTCAGTTGTTTCTGCCCTGTCTTGGGAGGAATCTTCATTTAGTTCTGGTTTCTGGTATTTCATGGCTTAGTTTCCATATTTAGACTTACTAGTAGGCTACTTCTTTGTTTGCAGTTGTTCTCTTCGTTGTGCTCCTAGATTTCTTATATTGTCTTTATCTAGTATTTTCACCTCAACCACATTTTCTGTGTTCACCTCCTTGTTTTGTTTTATGCTGGGCAGAAAATCCATGAGTGTATGTTTTCACAGAACAAAAAGTTGAACTAAAACGAATAATATTCTTGCATACTGTATAGACTGTTGAACATGTCTAGATATGTGTCCTTAGGCAAGACACTGAACCCCCCTGTTGCCCCCGATGGTTAGAGCCATCAGTTGTGTTGGCGCCACAAATGGCCACCATCGGTTCTGTACCAGAAACACATTCCTTGTGTGTAACATACTTGGCCAATAAAGATGATTATCCTGTTTGGTAATTTCTTAGTCAGATAGATATTTGTTAAAGATTTGTTGTATTAGAAATGTTTAGTGGAGCCAGGCTGTCTATGCTCAGGCTGTTAAATGCTTAGTCAACAGCCACACACCTTGACTTTCTTCATGTTTTGACTATTGTTATGGTCAGCTGCAAAGCTGGCATGTCAGGTGACGTCACGGTTCGACGTTGCCTGTGTAGGATGGGGCTATCCCAACCAAGTGAAAAAATGATATAGGCATTATGGTTCAGGGTCTCTCATACTTTGTCTGCCTGCGTGCAGGTCGGAGGTGAAAGAGATCTGGACGTATAATGTTAATTTTACCTGTGATTCTTTGAATAAACCAGCACGGTTATTTTTTATATATCCAAGTGGTCTACTTCGTCTTTGTGAGTTCCTGGTTTTAAAGAGCCGGAAGAAGCTTAAAAATAGCTTATAATCCTTATCCTATATAGTAATAAGATTCGAGTTAGATGTAGTGCTTCAAGATTTTTTTTTAAATATACAAACTGGAGGGGGTTGAGATTACAACAGCAGATATTAACAGAACAGAAGTAAGTGCTATTGGCCTGATATCATTTGACAGGTCAGCTCCAGGTTGTTTGGGTATGGGAATCATGTTTGACATCTCCCATGTACCAACTGAAATAAAGCTGGGAAAAGGCCACTGCAGAGCACAATCCTGAAAGCATCTAGGCCTGGGGTATGATTTGCTGAAATTTTATATGATCTGTGAACTACTGAATAAATAGGGATGATGGACCATCCTGTATCCTATTCTACTTTATTTAGTATCCACAGTGTGTTGATGAGGTGATAGAAGAAAATGGCCCTTGAGAGAGTGAGAGGCGAGTGGAAGTTTTGAGTAGAGAAGCTGGAAGTGACAGCTGCCATGTCTTCCATGGGACCAAATGTCCACTGCTCTGGATTTAAGAAGTGGAGGATACACCAGACTCTGCCATCTTGACTAGTTGCAAATCAATCAATCAAATTTTATTTGTATATCGCCAAATCACAACAAATGTCATCTCAGGACACTTTACAAAGTAGGGTCTAGACCATAGGTGTAATTATATTTAGCCCACGGGACAATATCAAATGACTACTAGAGTTAGCCCGCCAGCATTATTTCATGTCGTGGGGGCAGCAGTCTAAGCAAAGATGCTCAGACTTCCCTCTCTCCAGACACTTCCTCCAGCTCCTCTGGGGTAATGCCGAGGTGTTCCTAGGCTAGTCGAGAGACATAGTCCCTCCAGTGTGTCCTGGGTCTTCCCCGGGGCCTCCTCCCGTTGGGACATGCCCGGAACACCTCCCTAGGAAGGTGCCCAGGAGGCATCCGAAACAAAGGCCCGAGCCACCTCAGCTGGCTCCTCTTGATGTGGAGGAGCAGTGGTTCTACTCTGAGCTCCTCCCGGGTGACTGGGTTCCTCACCCTGACTCTAAGGGTGCACCCAATAGGACCCCACAAAGTAGGTAAAACCAGTAGGTGAGCGGGGGGGGGGGGGGGGGGAGGAG